CATTGACGTGGCAACCGAAAACAATACATATTATAAATTTGCATATTTTCAGCTACCAATGAATAAAAACTAGTGTTCAATTACTACTGTTCTTTCCTGAGAATAAAGTTTTCTTTTTGCTTCTTTGTGATTTTCCATACGATTCTATAAGTAAAATGAGCGTCCCCTTCACATTTCATCTATCACTACCATCAGCATAGATATTTCTGGATTCTATATGACAGGATTTCGAAAAACTCATGGCTTTTCAGGTATTTCTTATTTGTCTCGACTCAGAAACGTTTTTATTCAACAAAAAGATCATATTCAGAATCAGTACGAGAAACTCCATCGAACCATATGCGATACAATCATATTTATAGAAGAATGTTTTTCTGCAAATTTTTTCAAAAAAGACTGTTTCTACTTTTGAGCTTTCACTAGATCTATGGGTAACAATCGTAAAGACGAAATAAGGGTTTATTCGCAAAAATAAGGTCATGTCCACACGATAAGTTACAATTGCCCATTGTGTTATCTGTCGACTTTGTTTTTTGACTAGATTTTCCGCATCAAAGCAAAGTTAACGAGATTAACACTACTTCATCGTACAAGTGCAAAAATAAAAAACGAGAAAAATTTATAGAGAATTTTTAGAAACGGACCTACTGAAATTTGATTTATGCTACAATATTCTACACAAAGCTCTGCAACTTTCGGTGAAACTTTCAAAATGTTAGAACAAATATTCGGGAGATAAAGTTTCGAAATAAAAAATGTCGGAATACTGAAAAAAGCGGGTTTCAGACAAATATTTACTATTGTTTTCGATTGATTTAAAGTAGCCGGTATATTTTAACTGTGCAAGTGAACACATGCACCATGTTATTCAGAAGTTAATTGTACATCCGATGGTACGAGAATCAGCATTTTATAGGATGAGTCTGACTTGTGATTAGATAATTTTTCATAATGCACCCAATAATACTTCTAGATGTTATTGCGCAACTTTTTTCCCTCTGAACAAACATTCAGGACCATGCAAAAATCGTGAGTGTGTGGAGCGAAAAATTCTTTATATTTTGGTATACAATGCTCAGCTTTTGGAATTGTGCTAGATGAGCACACACTGACACAACTCGTTTTTTTGTCGGTAGAAAAACAAGAAATTGCAGTTTGACAATTCAATTGGTTTTCATCTCATAAAGTTTATGCCTGCGTGAAAAGTCTATTCGAAAAACAAACTCAACAGTTTTGTACAGAAGCAAATCCTCTACCCAGTGAGATCAGAACTAAAATTCGAAAAAGTGTTAAATTTCTGAAAGATAGAAAATAAAATTGCGATATGTAATATAGAAGACCCGTTATTTTTCAACAGATTTCGCCGAAAGGCCGTTCGCGTACGTAGGTAGATTCTGCACCTCTGCTTCTGATAGTCCTTTTCATAGTTTCATTGATCGTATATCTATCACATTTTTTGTGAAAAGCAATGGTGAAGAACTCGACGAAGCGACTCTGCTTTGTCATTATTAATTTGATATTGGAAATTTTGGCTTCGTCTCAACGTAATGATATCTCTTACTGACAATAATGTCTTTGCTATTCTACAATTGACATCACTGATCGATGGACTATCATCCAACAGCTATATATGTCTCTTTAGTCTACGTGTTTCTCCTAAAAACTCAACGATGGGTATTGCTTTTTCGGCTCTATTTAACATCATTAATGTGAATGGTTGTATCATCGAGATACATTTTATTTTTATAAGAATGGACAACTATTGGAAATACTGGAAGCGTTTACTTAAATGATTCCATCGCACGAAATTCTCAAACTTTTGAAAGGATGACTTGTTTTGCAAAAACATTTGGTTTCAACTATACCAACATGTATGAAGAAATTGGCGAATTAACCCTTTGAGGACCGGTGGTCCAAAAATGGACCACCTATTTTTCAGCAAAGAAAAAAGTGTTTACTTCCACATTAAACAATTAAATATCTAAGGCCATTAAGGTCATAAACAACTGCCTTTGTTATTTCGTGCTTTTTTTTTCTTTCTTTCCTTCTCTCATATAAATTCTTTTCAAACATCCTTTGTTCTTGCTGCTAAGGTACAGTGACGTCATAATTTCTTTCTTCTCCTCTGATCTTTTGTTGTTCGAGAATATTCTCATTCTCTATTGGGTATATATATTCCCGTTCTCATTGACGAATTTACATTGTTCTTGAATTTGCAAAGCATATCCTTTCTCTTTCGTACTTACACTCTTCATTTTTTCATACTGTTTTCAGAATTAAAACTAAACAAATGGAATTCTTTGGAAATGAAGAAGTTGATGACGAGTCCTGTGATTCATATAGGATTGGTTGCAGCAGCGAGAGTACCTTCGATTTGGATTACGATAAACTAGTCGATAGCTTACTTTTTTTGCATAGCCATATTGAGTTAAAATAAAATGAAAAGGTTAAGAAATTTTTTTCCGATTAAAAAAAATTCGGTCCTCAAAGGGTTAATGACTTTTGAGAGACTACTGATAGAATCAGAGTTTGCTGATCTGGCTCATTCCTAAGACTAAAATAATAAAACGTCATTGCTTATGTGGTTTTCAATAGACTATAACGAATCGGCACGAAGACCATAAACTCTATACTCTTTTTCGCATTGTTTTTTTTAGCATCACATTTTCGAAAATCAGACACATCTTTTCTATCTAAAAGATACATCTGAGGAAAGTCAAATCGGAATCAGTAACAGTACTGTTATTAGTTCTTGAAAGACTCAGCAGACATATATCAGGATTGCGAAATTTGGTGGAAGTGCGTTGTAAACCTTTCTTCTCAATAGAAAGCATCAAGTCTTTTATTATGTTCACGTGTACAAATCGTTGAAAGATTCTTCTACTATATCTGTATTATTTTCATAATCTTCTACTAAAAGAATTTTTTAGAAAAACCAAAATGATTTTGTACATTTGTGAAGAAATGTTAGTTCAAGTTTGGTGAAATTTTATAGATATACTTTTTTTCATTGCATCATGATCGAATTTCCGTATTTATATTTCAAACTTTTCACTGAATAGTTTATCGAAATCTGAAAGACCACAACACATGTCTCGCCAAACTGTATCCATAGAATGATTTAGATAACTAAAGGAGGATATCGTTACAGCACCTTTCTCTAGACAATTGTTCGATATTAGAAAATATCGCGTACTCATTTTGCCTATTCAGGAGTATCATGTGGCCAGCTGTAATGATATTGGTACCTGGATTCTTGGAGTTTTCTCTGGAAACTATTGTACTATTTCTACCAGAATGTAAGCATCTATCGAACATTTCAACAATCATTATAAGTAATCTATAGAAAAAGTAAACAGATAGTTCCAATTTTACTTCCGTCAATAAGTTCTATGTAGAGATGTATCTAAATAGAAGAAAATCCTTTCTTTGACTGTAAATCACCAAATTTATATTTTTCCTATTGGAAACTGTATGCGAAAAATTCGCTGAACACCTGCGGCATTAATTTTTTATATAAAGAAGTATTGTTTCAGGAATATATTTCGTAAGTCTTTAAATTTTTCACCAAATGGACACCAACTTTAACTAACAAATTTACCCTTAATAAGTGCATCCAAAATTGCACGAAGTTTTTTTTTTGAAGTCAATAACGGCAAAAAATATGGTCACAAAACTGAGAGAATATGAGTGTCGACATTTCTCAAATCATAGTATTTATGCTTACTTTAGCAGTATGTTGTAAAAAGAAAAGCTATATGTAGTTTATTAGAGCAAATCGAGTTCAACCGATTGTCATATTGCCTCTTCTGTAGAGCGGTGAAATCAGAGAGAAAATCGAAATATGATATCGGTCAAAACAAGGCCATGTTTGAGAAACATTTTTAGGAGTGACTAATGATTCCACTCTAGCTAATTACTAAGAAGGTTTCTGATGATTGTTTTAGATTCTATTATCACACAATGTGTGTTATGTTCTCTTTTTGATATACTTGTTTTTAACGGCAAATCAAAACTTCGTGTATGTTGAAGATAAAGTTGTTTATTTTCTTTTTTAATGAAATAATGAGATCTATGTATATCAAAGCACAGGTCGTTATGATGAAAGTTTGCTGAGACTACAAAGAAATACGAATGATCTCATTTTGATTGACACGTTCTTTAATTTTGCTTGAAAATTTATAGATCACAACGCCATATGTTGCTATCAACAAAGTCCTTTTCATTATTTCCACAAATTGGTGGTATCCATAAATGTTCGTAGGTGACTTGGACACCATGAGCTCTCAACTTGTTCACTTGATCACCACATCGCTCTTGTAAATCACTAGGTGGTGGATGAGCGGACCAGAATGGTGAATGATGAAGAAACCGACCAAAAGTAGCTTGCGAAAATGCAGCATACAAACGTGTATTAATAATATGTAAATGAAAAATCTTATCTATTTCAAAGGGTGGCCCACATTCTGTCCAAAGATTGTCTCGAACACCCGTATAGAAATTCTCTAATTCGTAGACAAGTTCTTGAGCACGATCAATTGAGATATCTTCGTATGTTTGTGTAAGCATTTCAATCAAATAAGTTCGGTCAGCATCAGGAAGACTGACCCTCTGAACAGCAACGGCAGAACTGATGAAGAATAGAGACAAAATAAGAAGGACACAAATCATGC